CAATTTATTCACTACGTTTTCCTGCATCCTTTTTGCCAGTTGTATGATTTCAATTAGTCATTACTTGCAGCTGGACTTTTTAAGAGTAATGACCGTAGTTAGTACTCTTATATAGGTTTGCCGATTTTTTTTCCTGAAAAAGACCTGAAATTTGTTCACAGCAACCGGCTATCTGTGTTACCCTTGCGAGAGCAAGGGTATTGCAATCGGGTTCTAGAATTTTTCCCGAAAACAATTTTGTCCATAGATTTCAGCTTGCATGCAGTACAGGACATGCATGCTGTATATGCGTATATTTGCACTCATTGGTCTGTTAGTTTTACTGTGCATCCGTATTAGTGTTTTTCCAATAATTTCGCCGTTCAATTTTTTTAAATGATATTTTGGTGTTTTTTTTGGTTTTTCGACTTCGTCGTTTTCGGTTTACTTTTTTTCGGATTCGTTTCCGCTTTGTTTTTACCATCCAATTACATCGCTCATTTGAAATTATTGTTTTAATAATATTATAGTTGCTTTTAGCGTATTGATTTACCTCTGCTACTTGTTTGTAATTTTTTCAACCTTGGCATCTCATATGTTTTTTTGTTTTTTTTTAAATTAAAATTTTATTCTGACCAAATGATTCCGGCCTACTTTTTATCGGCTTCGTGACCTTATTTTGAGTCGTTTCATTGGTAACATATTTTTGTGTTCACCTCAGTATTGAGAAAAAAAATTAAACATTTCAGTAGAGATATAATTCGGATTTTTCATGACAACATTTTTTTATCACTATTTTCCCTTTTGTTTCGGCCTGATAGCTTTCGGCCTATAGTATATTGGCTTATCGGCCTATATTGCGTCCTTTGAGTAGCAAAAAACGTGTGTGTGCGTGCGTGTCTGTGTTTTGAGCGCGAATGGGGTTGAATAACTTCTTATTAGTCTTAGCTTCTTTTCTTTTTTTTTCAAGCTTTTTTGTCTCAATAGGTTTCGGGCTACATTATATCGGCTTAGTTGTCTCATATTGTTTTATTTGAAAATCAAATAATGCTGTTTGAGTGTTTTGAGGGCTAGGGAAACTTTTCAAATGTCTCAAATTTTTTTGATTTTGTTTTCGGCTTAAAGATTTCTGATAAGGTATTTGTTACCGCTTGATAAATTATCTTCCCGTGCAATTTTTACATTCTATTCAGTCTCAGCATGTTTTCGTTTCAAACCTAGCCATATTCATCATAATAGATTCAGTTTTTTTTTTCAAAATTTTTGATTTTCTTCTGTTGTATTGCAAGTGGTGCGACGCTCAGCTTCGCCTCTGTGTTTAAATGTGCGATTTGTTACAGAAGAATTTGTTTTTTCTATTCGTTTTCTGCTGTTTTTTGAAAATATTATATTCTAAGACTGCAATCAGCTCGGCTTCGCCTGTATCGCATTATGCGACAAGTGGAATCACTTGTTATTTGAGTTTGCGCTGAATTTTTTCGCGTTGTCAATTGTTTGGATCATTTTGTACTACCTGTTAAGAACCGCCTTGTCTTGTTGCAGACACTGAAAACTGGAAGAAAAAACTTTGTTTCCGATGCCGGATGTCTACTATCTTTGAAATTTTTTCTGGGATACTTAATCAAAAATATCGATGAAGTAGAGTTCTCAGTTCTGCGCAAAAGAGCAGGCACTACAACTGAACTTCACATAGGGTTAAAAAACTTTAAAAAAATCAAAAAAAAACTTCGTTGAAAAAAATTAAAAAGTCGAGAAAACTTTAAGCAACTTGCAGATTAATGGAATATAGATTCTTTTTAAAGATAAGACCCCTTTTATTGTACAATTCTTTTAAAGTTAAGACGTTTTTTATCGTACTTATTTGCTAACCGAAATGCTCGTTCGCTTAGATATCACTGAGAGTGAATGGAAAGGAAGCAATTTATCGACCCGTGGAGTCTGGAACAATTACCACAGAACCTTCCATTTTTTCTCTTCATGAAAGCGAATCTGATATGGGAGAAACCAGCGGTGGGGGCCCAACTGTCTCGAAATGAAAACTTAGATGTCTGATTCCGTCTCTTCAATTAACTGCTCTGTAACTCTCTATTTGCAACCTGCGGAAAAATTAAAACAGCAGCAGAGACATATTCAATGATAATTTTTTGGGAAATTTGCAAAAATAAAAAGTCTCGAAAAGTGCAAAATTCGAAACTTAATCTCATACAAATTCGAAAGTCTTAAAAATCTCTCGCATGAGTCAAATAGAAATCCAATAAAAAATTGGTTTATAAAAAATATTACCATGTGTACGCTTAGTATTTCGAGAAAACAATCAAAACATACGTTCTCAGAATCTTTTTTATTATATGTGATATTCCAATTTTTAAATTAAATATATATTCTAATGTTATTTTATTGAACAACATAAGTTTCAGCTTTAAATATTTTTTTGAATAAATTGAACAAAGATAGCAGATTTTTGAGGAAAAAAAATATTCGCGAAGGATAGCCTTGCAATATCTTTCAATAGCCCTGGTGTTAAAAAGAAATTGGCTTTCAAAAATCTCAATTAGGAGAAAATTGTTCACGAGAGTCAATATAATTTTGACACCAGGGTTGGTAAAAGACGTAGCATTGCGAACTTTCCCGACCATTCTTTCATTTTCTCCGAGTTGAGGTCTTAAAGCCAATCTCCGAGGTTTCTCCGAGTTCATTTTCTCCGAGTTCTTAAAGCCAATCTTTTATACGGCAAGTCATTAGTAGTGTTGATCTTGATATAGACTTGAAGCGGAAATACGCCGTTCAAAATGTGTTATTGAAGATCATATATGAAACTACAGGAAATTATTGGAAAAATCGCAACAACGTTAGTCGCACAACAAAAATATATGAAGAGGGTTCAACCATTCACTTCCAAAAAAGTGAGTCTATACTTTGAACTAGCGATATCAAAACTATTGCCCTATCATAAGCCTGCTCGCTCGCTTTATTCGCTCGAAAGTAGAAAAACAAACAAAATTATTATACAGATTTTCTTGATACTAAAAAAATTTGAAATTTTTTCAAAATGGCAAATCACTCGACACGTTGCAAGGATATTTTCAAGTACCTGATTTTGCATGGAACAGCTTAGAAAATTAATTCACGTTTTCTTGGCATCTACTTTTCAAAATGAATAAAACTTCAAAAATTGTTTTGAACATACTTTGTACTGAAAAAAATCCAAATACCATTACAAAGCCAAACTGTGCACTGGATAGGAGCACAATTAGGTGCCTGTAAAATCTTGAACTCCGAAGACAAGCCTTTGAAGATGCTCCAAAATATAACTGGATTCCACTTACAACATTTCCGTAGATTCCGCATGCAAATACCTGTAACGTAAATTTTGTCGGCACATTTGTTCTGGATTCCTTAACTGTAAGCAGCCACCGCAAAAGATAAAAAATTTCGGCAAGTATAAGTGGATTCCGCAAAGTTTTTGAGCGGAATCCGCAAATGTGAGCGGATTTCGCAAATTTTATGTTATTCCACAGTTTTTTTCATTTCATAACTAAACCAGATGTCGCATATTATCAATTAAAAACTAGAGCTGGAACTAGGAATGCGGAATTTAAAAGCCAGGAATTAACAATTGTCAGCAGAATCCACTATAAAAATTTGAATCTGTCAACTAAATCGGTGAACGTCATCCTTTAGTATTTGGGAAATTTCCCAACAAGCAAATGTGTCGGGATCGATTTGAAAACAATCACCGAAATAAAAATTATTTATAATTGAAGTGGGTTCAGAGTGATTTCAAATCATCAGTATTTGAGATGAATGGTTGGGGTGAGAGGTGGAATGAGATGGTAAATTTTCATATCAAAGGAGTTTGCAAAAAATGAGATCGAAGTAACATGAATTGAGATCAAATTTGGGTGTACGGCAAGGTTTAAGATCAAACCTGGCAGGAGTTGAGATCGAACATGAAAGTAATCGAGATCGAAGTTAGCGGTAAGATGGCAGGAATTGAGATCAAACATTTGTTATTTCCCTTAGTAGCAATAATTGGGATTGAAATCATAGGTGACCACTTGGTACATTAAAGATTAATTTAAAACGCTACTATATATGTAACTGGAATCATCAAACAAATTGTTGATTCCACTTGCAGTTTCACTGTTGGTCTATTTTGATATTTGATACCACAAACTGTTCCGGTTTCCGCAATTTCATCTGTTTTTGAGGCAATTTTGAGCGGCACAGTGTTTTAGCTATTCTTTTGTGGAAACCAAAGCAGCACAGAAGACAAAAAAATAGCAAAATTGCGGATTTCGCGACATATCTGATTTTGGATTGTTCCAGAATCCGCTTAAAATTCAAAAAATGCATAGTTTGGCCTCGTTATGCTCTGACACACCCTAATTTAAACTTTAGTAAGTTTTTTATGATGACACTTTTTTGCAGTTATACTCCCTTTTTTTGTTGATCAAGTAAAGTAGTCAAACATCCTTAAGTTCTAGTCTTTCCTTCAGATCATCTGGTGACACTACGGACAAAAATCAACTAATTTTGAACATAGTGTTTTATTTTGTAGTCGCAAGTTTTTGTGCCAATTGCACAGTAATTGGCCGTTCACGTTTTTTTTTGTTTTCTTTTTTGTTTTTTCTCACACATGCTTGTAACTTCTAAATTAATTACTGAATTGTTTTTCACTCCTTTCTCATTGTTTTTGAAATCCTTTCTCGCCGCCAGATCTTTGTTTGATATATGAATTGATTCGCGAAGTTTAAGTTTTCATAAGGCCCTGTCTGAATAATAAATTGCAAGTCCTGGTCTAAAACTGAATTGTTGATTTTTCAACTGCCAGTAAAACTTCTTTGATAAGAAAAATTGTTTTAGTCAAATTATCTTTTATAGATAGTTGCAAAAAGTTTGGATAGGCAAACTTAATTAAAAATAACAATGGGCTTTTTGTTAAATTGAATTTTGCATTCACAAGCTCTGTATGAGACATAACTAATTCCGTACGGTTGCCTGAAAGCTCAAAATTGCGGATAATTTTGCAGGTAGTCTCAAAATAAAAATCCAAAATTGCAGCTAAGCTCAAATTTGCCTGAAAACTCAAAATTGCAGGTAATCTTTTAATTAATTCCGACTACCGGAGTTTTTGCAACTTGTTGTAAGATAAGCAATTTGCAGTAGAAAAAATTAATTGAAAGACTGTTTAAATCTTTTACTTCTCATAAAGCTATGATATGTTCTTTGCCATTGTGAATGATTTTGACAACTCCTACTGAACCCGGAACATGAATTTCCAATGTCTCTTTGTTGGCTCCTGCGCTCGTAATTTCAGTTTTCTCGAAACTAACATCGACATGTTTCAATTTCACGTTGCTCTCTTCGTTATCACTTCCGGCTTTTTGAGTACTCGTCTTATCGATTCTCTTGCCAACACTTTTTATCCCTACATTCAATTTTTTGACTTCAAAACTATTTGCTTCGCCTGCAGCCGTAACGTCTTCAGTTTTCTCGAAATTAACATCCTTATCGGACCTCTTGCCAATTTTTTTAATCCCTTCATTCAACTTTTTGACTTCAAAACTTTTTGCTTCGCCAGCAGTTGTAACGTCTTCAGCTTTGTTGAAATTAACATCCTTGTATTTCATTCTCGTGTTGCTTTCTTCTTTGTCGACAGCATCATTTTCGGCTTCTTCGTCACTGGTCTTATCGAAACTCTTGTCAGCACTTTTTAACCGAATGTTCGACTGGTCCAGCGTCTGCTCAAGCTGCCAGCGTCCTTTCGGTTCCCGATTGAAGTTTGCGAACTCTTTCTGATTTTCACCATACGCTTTAGTTTCTTCGTCTTTAGTGAAACTTACGTCGGCATGTTTCATTTTAAAGTTTGATTCGGCGTCCTTATTTTCAACCGGCGATGAAAACATGGCGGGAGGCGGAGGCACAATTTCCGGGTCTGACTCACTTTCTGACTCACTGTCTGATTTGATTTTCTTAACATTCGTCTTAATGAACTCACTCAAGCTAACAGGTCTTTCGAAGCCTTTTGGCGGAGGTTTCGGAGTCTCACGTGGTTCAAAAAGATCTTGCTTAACTTTCTGAACTGTGACGCCAGTCGGGGAGAACGCAGAGTTCTTGATTGGCGTGTTCGCAATCGGAGTCGAACTTTTCGATGACGTCGAGACTGATGCTGAAGACTTCGAACTGATTGCGTTTTGGTCGACGAAGTGATAAGCGCTGCTCTCGTTTTGCGACAGGTTACTCGTGACTGACTCAGCTCTAACTGATGACTTCTCCGACGTCGAGTTGAACGACGTGTCGGCTTTCTTGTAGTGCGACACAGGCACAAAGCTGGAGTTCGTAGATCCGAACTTGCTGTCAGTGGTGTCGGCGACTTTGATGGGAGTCGTGTTGCTTCGCACGAGGAGTGGAGCGGTCGTTTTAATTTTGGGCATTTCTGGTTGTCGAGGAGTTGCTTTCGGTCGAGGCTCCACTGTTTCCACTGTCTCCACGGGCGGAGGAGGCGCTGCTATAAAAAAAACTCACACATTATAATCAAAAAATTAGAAACAAATTTAGTTCTGTCGAAAATGATCGAAATCTATGATTTTCAGATTTCATGATACCCAGTTTTGGCCGGAGAAGTGCTCGCTGACGTCATTTTTTTGAAAAGCATCCAAAGATTCTGGGCGTGTCTTTTTTGTTAACGCGTTGTTACTTTCTCAACTGTACAACTAGAATTGAATTTAGAAAAATGTTCCTTAATTTTTTTTGAAACTCCAACTTGTTTGTACATATTTTTCGGCCACGCCATCGCACCAGTGATACATGTAATGGAAGCGCACACCTTTCACATCAGAAAGGTTGATCATGTGAAGACCGAGCTTTGCAAAGCTATATAGAATAGATTAAGAAGGTGTGTAAAAATCATAATAGCCATAATACCGTCTTCAAAGCTATTTGTGCAATTTAATGAGGCAGAAAAACTAACGAAGTGTTATTACAGTTTTCATGACTTAACTTTTATTTGATTGAAAAGAACTATTGTGATCGGATTTGGACAAACTCAATCGACCTAACGCAATCATGGTTTTTTGTATCTTGCGCAAGGTGTTTTCCAAAGACAATTAAACCTAATAACTCAAATCGTCTCGTTTTGTCTTTCTGATAATAGCTCTTATCAATTTTCCTTAATGAAGTAGTATAACAGATTGAAAACTTGAGCGACTTTAGTGCAAATCATTATATTGTGTAAACATAGTTTAGAGGCTCTTTTCCACCCCACCCTTGAATTTAAACTTTGAAAAACTACTTTAACATTGTCGGAATGCAATGAAACTTGGAATGGTCAAAAGAAGTAACAATTGTGAACAGATTTGTTTTTCATACCTTGTCTTAACTTTACGCGTTCAGCGATAATTACATGTAAAACAACAATAAAAGCAGTCAATTTTCGACGATATGTGACTTATACTCTATGCTTACCCTTGCGCGCGCTGTCCCGTCTCAGCACCACGCCCGCCGGAATAGCAGGAGATGCGACCCCGTTCTGCACAGAATTGGAGCTCTGAACCTGGATATGTCCAGGTCTTATGCCCACATTCACTGAGTTGCTTCTGGGCATCTTGTTCTTGCATGCTTTGCACATCAACTTCCCTTCGTGTTCTGCATAGGAAGTTGCTTCCAGTAGCTTCTTGCAGTTAGCTGAAATAAAAAAAAACAGCTTAAATTCTATGCTCGAAAAAAGCCATTGATCATATCAGTTTTGTTTGTTATCCTTCAGTATTTTTGCCTAGCACAGTCTTTTAAGTTTTTTTATCCGATAGATCTTATTGATCTGCCTTACAACTCAAATCTATTAAAGCACATGAATTAAGATGAAAAGAGAAATATATAGAAAAGGAGATTATGAAGTGTTGGGAGACTGGCGTATTAGCATGTCTGTCGATTAGCATGCCCATGAAAAGAATGTCCTTTGAAGATTCGCTATTATACGGTCTGCATATTCAAACTTGTAGTTTTAAACATCGTACACTCAGCCGAATTTTTAATTAGGTGAAAAAGAAAAATTACATCCCCTAAAAATTTAGAGGTTTCGAAAATATTTGAAAATTTTACGTCTGAAAGCACGCGCAGTTGAAGCAATCATTGCATGCTTATAAGGCACATATGCTAATCGCTACACCTCTGAACTATTGAAACTCTGTTTAGTTAGGAAACACCTAAGAGTAAAGGAGTCTGTATTTATTCTCACAAAATTTTATTGCTGATTATATATTTCTAGGAAGAGGATAGCCGTTTGCTGTGCATGTGGTACAGAATGCTCCAAATACGCTGATGCAAGAAATTAAGTTTAAGATTAAAGCAAGAAAGCAACAAAAATTGTTCTTTAATTTTCTTGGATTGTTCCGACAAAATTTTAACATGTTTAAAGACTTGTCTCTGGAATCCAGGAACATAAAGACAAAAATTGTGCGCCTATCCAGTGCACAGTTTAGCCTCGTGATTTTATAAAATTTTTTTCTTTTTTTCAAAATTTAAGCTCATTTAGTATACGGCGACTGAATTAAAGAAAAAATTGTCAGATTGAGTAACATGGCTGTGAAAACTGTGAGTAGTAAGGCTAACAAGAAAGTTTAAAGCAAGTGCTAAAATAAATTTTAAAATGAGAGATCCGCGTTTCTTCAATTTTTCCTAAAGTTTATTCTGATAATTGAAAAAGTCTTAGACCAGTTAGTCTCAGCACAGCAGCGAGAGAACTTTTCTTTTAGAAACCAAACAAGAGTAATTAACTTTTCAGGGTTTTTCTCGGACACAGAATTTTTTCAAATTTTTTAAGGTTAGAATTACGGCTAAAAACGTTTTAATATGATATATAACTCGACCCATTGCAATGATTATTTATGGTATCTGATTTTGCAAGGAAAAAAATAGAAAAAAAGGAAAAAACTAAAACAGACTCAAAAGCAAAGATCCTCCCTATTTTCAATGGTCAGAACAACAAAAGTCTTTTTGTTCTTGAAATGGTTGCATTTCCGCAGGTCATTATCTTTTAGACTGTATTTCGAAACAGATCTTTCTTCCCTTTGGCTTATCTAACAATTTAATTAAAATAAAAATATAAAATGATGACAATAAAACATACTATAATACATACTGTTTTGAAAGCTTTGTTGCTTTTTAGTTTTCCTCTCTGTGGAAAAGCTTAAATCTTCTGGAGTTTTTTAAGTTTTTTTTCACCTAATTTTTGTTGCTAAGCATCACGAAAAATTGGTATACCATATATGATTTTTCCTGCAATAGCAAATACAGGTATTATGTGCAGTACAAAGAGCTATCACGATGTGAACCAGAGAAAAAAAGATTCCAAGATTTTTTTCAGATCATAATGATTTTTCAGATAAAATATCCTTTGAAATTGTTTTCTCCTAGTTCACCGTCTGTACCTCTATAACGATGCAAAACTCATGATCGATCTCATCGGTTTTTTAATCTCTAAGAGAGTACCCATGATGGTAACTAGAGACGCTGTAGATGGTTATTACAATTATAAATGGACTATTCAATACATCAAGTGTTTCAACCTTAAACTTTTGTGTATGGTAATGTACATGTAACAACTTTTTCTCTGTTTGATTTTCTTCAAATTTATTCTAGATTTTCAGACACAAAACCGCCTGAACATAAGATTTAGTTAGGCATACTCACAGCACTTGAAGCACTTCTTGTGGAAACTCTGACCCATGGCCAGCACTTGCTCCATCAGGTACACTTTCTCCCCACATACCCCACAGTTGGGGGTGAGACCCATCTTCATTGCCAGTGGCGGGGGCATGTCTATCTCTTCTTTTTCACCTCTTTTTCTCAATTATACTCTGCAGGTTGCTTTCTAATCACCTATCTAAACAAAAGTTTTGGATAAAAATAAAACGAATAATACAAAATGGTGAACTGAAAAAGTAAGAAAAATCTATTACGGAGATATTTGTAGAAAATATGTTCAATTAGGCCATTAATTTGATGTTTTAACTGCCCCCAACAACCTAATTTTTATTTTGTCGAAAATTCCTGCTCTTTTTTAAATCTTTTTTTTAAGAAAGATTAATTGGAAAAATGCCTCTAGAAAGTTGCATGGAGTTTTCTCGATATGTATTAAATTTTTTCGATTGTTGGGCCTGTTAAAGTCAAGGTCAAGTTGTCTTTATTTTTTGTTTTCCTCAATGCTTTTCAAATAAAATGGTTTAAAAAAATGTAACATGTTTGGCATAAAAAAGGTAAACAATAAGGCAAGAGCTTAGCTACAACCATATCACTGAGTTAATTTGATATCCGCAAAAGTGGAAAACTTTTGCCGATACCTTGTAAATATAATAATATTATGAATAATAAATCATAATGATAATCGTTATAAATAAATAACAATATGAATATCACAGAAGAAAAAACAACTGCCAGGTTTAGCTTACCTTTAAACAGCTAACTTATCAAAAACTGCAGGTCTTGGTATGAAGTTAGTTTAAACTCAACGCAGGTGTAAATTAATTAAGCTGCTCAATAGCAAAGTAGTTTTCAAAAGAAAAGAAATGGTGTAATGAAAACGTATCGGCTATTTTGTTTGGCCACTTAAACTATTATGGCCGGTATGGTCGGTTTAATGGTGAAGCTATGTTTTTACATGCGCATTTTCTGAGACACAGTTTTCAAAA